GATAAAATATAAAAGCAATGTCAGTACAGAGTCATTCTAAATACAATAAATTTTTTAATTGCAAAATCTTAATTTTTCTTACAATTTTGATATATACTCATTTTCAAGTTATATATTTTCCAAACGATATGCTGTGGGAATATAGTGAGGATCTAAAATTGCGAATTGTTTTTATGAATGCAGATGGTTATAGCAACAAAAAATTACCAAAATTCTCTGTATAAGTGAATCTACTATACATCGAACATTAAGTACTTTCCAAAAGTAGGGAAGCATTATAAAACCTTTTAAAGAGCAATCTGGGTGCCAAAAAGCTTTCATATGCAAAAAACTAGGCCTCTTAAAGCATATTATTAAGGAGAATGTGAACCTATATCTTGATGAGCTTGTGGTTGAGATGGAAAACTATACACAAAAGTAGATTTCTGTTTCAACTATATGGCATTTATTACAATATTGTGGTATCTTCTATAAAAGGTAAAAAATATGTTATTACTAGCAATAATAGCAATTAATGTTAAGAGTTATAGAAATTATAGTAGTATTTGATTTTTTAATTAGCTACACAAGATGGCATCTGAAAGAAACGAGCTTTTAAGAAGTGCTTTTTTTGCCAAAATTGGGATGAATTATCATCTAGACCAATTAATTTTTATAGACGAAACTGCAAAGAATAATTGTAGTCTAAATAGACATTATGGCTATGTGTCTATAAATGTTCATACACACAAAAGACTGTTTTCATTTATGGCAAAAGGTATATGATCCTACCTGCTCTTTCACTTGATGGTTTTCTAGCAGTCGATGTTATGGAAGAAAGTTGTGATAAAGAGTGGTTCTGTGAATTTATTTTAACTCAAGTAGTAAATTAAGGGATTTTGGTAGTAAATGGTCATATGATTAAAATTAATAATATATATTAATTAGTACATAATAGTTGGATGACTAATTTAAATTATATATATTTAATAATAGGTTCCAATGATGAATGCTTTTTCAGAAAGAAATAGCATTATTGTTCTTGATAATACAACGATTTATTAAAATGTAAATTTTGTTGAAATAGTAAAAGAACTGGGGGGGCCATGTGATTTTCTTATCACTCTATTCTCTGGACTTTAACCTAATTGAAATAGCTTTTAGTATTGTAAAAAGCTAGGTCTGGAGAAATAGGGATTTTATAAATACCACTACAGACCTATTTTATACACTTAGGGTAGTATGCATACAAATAACACCCGAAATCGTGACAAATTTTTTTCATGGATCAGGTTATTTAGAGTAAGTTTTTTTATTATCGTTATATCAAAATTATTATATCTGGTTATATTGGTTAATTTCTATTTGTTCTTATTATTAACTAGGCTATAAAATTAAGGTTATTACCTAATATACAAGACATATTTACATACTAGTGATACAATCCAAAATAAAAAATAAAAAATTTCCCATAGGGTATAGTACTCAGAAAAATATTGCCCTATATAGTTATTATGGTTAGTGTTTGGGGTTAGATATTAAAGACTTTCAGGTTTTTTTTTCTTAAACCATAATAGTAATGATAACGATCATACAAAGATATTTGCTTTTATTTATTTTATTTAATATAAAATACATAATAGGCTAATTAATTATTATGCGATACTCTAAGTAAAATTGTTTTATATCTCCAAACTCTTTTGAAACCCTTATTCTAACACAAATATTAATCCTACATGAAAATTTGTGCTAAAATTTAATTACAAATTTATAAAATCCTAGAAACATATATAAAAATATTATAATATATATATATAGTATATATATAATTTACAGTACTGCATTAATATTTGCTTGCAGCTTGTTTAATATTTATTAGCTATCCACGTTTTGTAACCTCTAGTTCTTCCTTTAGATATTCGTAATTTAAATTTTTAATACTATTTACAGTTAGTTTTTCTCTTGCAAATACTGCTTCTAATTTTAAATAATCATCGTTACTATCATTATAAGCTTTATTTAGTTTTTCAAAAAACTCATAAAAAGTTGGAACTAAATCAGAAATTAAAAATATTGGTTGTGAAATATTTAATTGTTTATTGACTTTAATAGCATAAGCCATTCCAAATGCAGGGTAGGAAGGTAGGACTTCTACTATTACATCTCTGGTATTCTGTAATATATATCAATATATATTTATTAATATAATATATATTTATTACATGTATTTACATGTATTGTACGTACTATTATGGGATGTTCTATAGAATAGATGAGCAATATAAGAAATAAGCTTCACTGATGATTAGTAATTGTTAATTTTTTAATATATTCACGTGACATTTGGTAAAGTTCAGTACCTATTCTATAGAACATTCAAGTTTTGAATTTACCAAATCCAAATATTATTTGGTTTCCAAATTTAAACTTTTATTATCAAATTTTCTGATTTATCATCTTATGAATATTAATACTAACCACATCCTGTATTTATAAATATAAAAGTGGAGGTGTTAATTGGAGATGGTTTTGGTTTTCGATATAACAAGCCATATTATGGATATTACATTTATATTTTGATCTGATTTGTGAAATAATCTTGGCTAATTTGATTTTGTCTGAAGAAAGACTCAACTCTTTTGGCATATAGTTTGTCTTTATTTTTTTATTTTTTGGTTTTTTCTTTTCATCAGAATTGCTATCTTCAACAGATTTCTATAAATATATAATTAATATTATATTAATATAAAATAAGTAAATTATTATAATATAAAATTATATATCTCAGCTTTTCGCTTATTAGATTTTAATATAATATATATCACCATTATTTTATTTGAACTTAGATTTTTACTCTCAGTAATAAATGAATCAAAATCATGTTCATCGTCTAATACTATCAGCTGGCCACGTCTATTTATCTTGTATAAAATTTCAAGATCATAGTTATTAATTTTCTTATTTTTAAGACGCTCACAAGTATGTTTAGTAAGATCATAATGAAATGCATCAAATGTATCTAAATAAAAAACATAACCCATTTTTCTGCCAATGGTGTAGAATTATTAACCTTAATAATGACTTTTACTTTTAATTCCAAACTTTCATTATTTGGTTGATTAGTTGAAGAATCAAGATTGTTGTTTGGTAAATCAGAGGTTATTGAATAATTATCATCATGGTCATTATCGGTTGGAGAATATTCTAGATCTGGATCTTCTTTGAAATATGTAAAACTGCTATAACAAGTATTACAAAAGCTTATATTAAATTTTTTTTTAAAGTTGCAATCATAATACCAAAGTCTATTATATTTTCTAAGAAATAATTCTTGATTTAAAGATGTTGTTTTAGGATTATAAACTAGACTGTAAAGATTATGAAGTTCATTGCGAGAAGGTTTTTTTATTATATCACATTCACAAAAATTTTCAGCTTCAGCAAGGCAAAAAAGATATTTTTGATATGAAAAACATGTTTCAATTTTGTATAAAGACAATGATATTTTAATCACACATATGATAAGTGATTATATTCAGGTTAAATACCTTTTAAAATTCATTGTGGATATCATGATATTTATATAACATACAAATATGACAAATACAAACAAAGGTCTACATATTAGTATCTTTATTTTTAATATTAGCGCTGACGAATATTACAAACCATGCATACAAATACACAAAACCAAATCACTGACAATAATATATATATGTATATTAAAGTATTAAAGAATTGTAAATTTCTAAAATTGATGATTGGAAGTTTATACATAAATACTCTTGATTACCTGCTAAATATGTATGTATATGTATAAATACAATTATAATTAGATTTTAAAGGCTAAAACTCAATAATGGGTTTCTTTTGGCTATCTTACTACTCCAATACCCGGAGCTTATTCAAGATCTCTATTTCTAAGTTGAATAGTACTGTGTGAAGAACTGGGTACTATATTTGAGAAAATATTAAAAGTAGTAAATCAACATAGTCTTATTCAAGAAACAGGATGATGTGGATGGTGAATATGAATGTCTAAATTATTTTTGAAAAATCATATATTAGTGAAAAATTAGATGCTATAGTAGCAGTAGAAGTGCAAGGACTTTATGTCAGAGATTTAGTTTCTTACTTACAGTAGTAGCAGTGAAACGATTTTTGGCAAACATTCAGTATTGCTAAAAATTTTTAATATGAAACCCTTTGAAATAACTATATTATATAATGTATTTTGATGAAAAGAGTTCAAAAAATTTTGGCAATAATTTCGGCAATATATGAAAATTAATTTTGGCAATATATATGAATAATTTCAGCTGCCTAAATGCTATAATTACTTTTTTATTAAGATAGGCAATTTAAGCACCCATATATATATAAAGGGTGTTATTTTTGGGGGATATTGTATATAGTGGTCAATGGTATAATTGTTAACAGTAATTTATACAATACATTTAATTCAATAGTATATGTATGGGGTACTAACAGGAGATTATCTCATTATTTCAACTTCACTTGAGATATTTGTAATAGAATTTAGCTATTAATTATATAGAGATTATAATAACAATAGTGAATTTGTATGCAGAATGAATATATCATTACCTTGCACTATATCTCAATACAACTCTCTGAACAAAGCGTTGTTGTACCCAATTAATGACAATAAATATATATTTCTCTGGGATGTTAAGTGGTTCGTCTAGTCTGGTCTTAAAAAGTCAGGTCCTGGTATTGTAGTCTGAGAAGAGACTTCTTATTCCTTTTGCCAAACTTTAGCTCTAGACTACAAGTTCAGACTATATGATTTCACAGTCAGTTATATATTTAATTGAATTTACATCAATTAAGAGATGCATAGTAATTTAAAGTTTGTTGCATAATTTTTAAGGTTTGCAAATATAGTATTATATAGGCAATCAATATTATAGTCTACGTATACTAGTTATCACAGGTTTTATAGTCAATAAATGTGATCAATTTATTAATCATATTGCTCTTTTCTTATAACAAGAAGAGAGTTTTATTTGCAAGATATTTTATGATAGCTACAAACCCAGACTGTATAATTTCACAGTTATATATTTATATCAATTAAAAGATGTTTAGTAATTTAAAACATATA